ACATGCGATACTTCCATTTTCACCCCCCATTCAGCTTTGCACGTCACCACTACTGCTGTAGTTGGATGTCGAGGCCTGCAATTCGGCTGGTTGAGACTGTTGATAAGAGCTTCATTCGCAGTTTCATAATCTACCATATCAGATGTGTATAATTCTGTCCCCACCAAGGAAGAACGAACGTACGCTCAAGTGAGCGAATCACGTTACACACTCTACATAGGGCATATTCTTGAGAGCGAGTCGAATGGTCGAAGTGGAGTTAGAGGTGCGAGCATAGTGAAGACCTAGACACTCCGGTGAGATGATCCGAGCTCGTATTCCAACCAACCAACACACAACGGCACTGCGGTCGGCTTCCTCGCGCCAACATCTGTTTAGATTTTGTAGCTGTCGGTGAGTGTGTGTTTTCTCCCATCGAGAATGGACTATAATAGTACACGATCGATTCAAATGTATACTTCAGAGGATGGTTCCTTTCAACCCCAATACAACAGGAGTTGGGACAAGACTTGTGTTGACGCAATGTCGACTGAAATGGGACAAGTTGCTCCTCGCTTAAGTGCTAGTAAAAGCCAAGCATTCATTAAGGGTGTTGTAGTCAGTGGGGTTTATGTAGTCGAATCCGAGTGAGTCAATGACACTGACAATGGTTGTCCTCTCAGTTAAGTTTTTAGTTTCTGTCTATTATGTCAAGCGCAGTTGAGAATTGGCTTTCTCTCGATTTCGATAAGAACACCCGTAAGGAAGCCCAAGAGCTTACTCCTGAGGAGATCGAAGATCGCCTCAATCCTAATCATCGTATGGAATTTGGTACCGCTGGTCTTCGTGGCGAGATGGGAGCTGGCTTCAACCGTATCAATTGTTTGACTGTGATGCAAGCTGCTCAAGGACTATGTATGCAATTGATCTAGAGGTTTGGTGAAGATGTTCTCTCCCAGAGAGGTGTCGTCTTTGGTTATGATGGACGTCATAATTCTCGTCAATTCGCTCATGTTGCCTCGGCTGTCTTCATCACGAAAGGTGCTAAAGTCTACCTCATCGACAAGACCAGTGTTACTCCTTCCAATCCATTCTTGATTGTTCATTTCCATGCTCTAGCTGGAGGTCAGATGACAGCCTCCCACAACCCGAAGCAGTACAATGGTTTCAAAGTA